GTACACTAGGGTGATTAAAACTATAAAGCAATTCACCATCAAGATATATTGCAATTCTAGCTTGAGCCCATACATCATTAGCTGACTGATCCTCATAATGCTATAATATTTGTTTACCCTTATAAAAATCTAAAGTAAAGATATTATGGTTTATTTTTTGTAAAGCGAGGGTTTTTTGGCTCTTTTTTGTTAACACTAATAATATAAATTTTTGATCTTCGATTTTTGATATCACTATAATATGTTTCTCTATATTTAAAAAAATAGGCCTAAATGCTACTCTGGCTAATAATTTTTTGACTACTTTTTTATCATTAAACCCAAGAATTGCAGGTCCCGAATATGCTGTTTTCTTTCTAAAAATAATACGATACATATTATTAATAGCCTGGGAAGACGTTAAACAAACCTTACTTGTTTTATTACTACTAATACAAATAATGCTGAGTTGCAATTTATTTTCTTCACCTTAAACTACTTTTATAAAAAATTGTTGTTGGTTAAGTACAATACTAACATGTATATGAAGTTAATATAGAACAGAAATAAAGACATTGTTATTAGATAGTCTGGGCGATCACCAATCACGAGCATAGAGCCATAGTGTAGTTCTGGACATATTTTGCCTTCCGCAAGTAAACTAATACTTTTATAAGTCATATTACTCATAGTTTATTACACATATAAGAATCAGTTTTGGCATTTACAACTATGAATTTTATTTTAATTAAATATGTATCATGATTTCTTATGTGATATTGATCATTTTACCTTATTGGATAACAAATTAGCAATTAATCCTTTATAATTTTTTTAAAATAAAGAATAAAAAAAATTCTCTAGCAAAAATATAGTTTATCTAAAAATCTATCAATTTGTCAGAGGGTTTTTTGATTTAACTTATTTTAAAAGTTATAACACTTTAAAGTTTAAGTTGTATAGCTCACTCCCAAAAATTTTCTCCGCATATGATGATCATCTCGATTTTTTTCGTGTTTGTGTAACTTCACCTGCAGTTTGATTTTTCGAATTATTCTAAGTTTTTTTTTAAACTTTCGTGAAAATATCTCAAGAAATAGATATATATATCACAGCTTATAATTAAAATCGTATTAAAATAAATCTTGAAGTTTCTATTTAACCTCCTAAATCCTACTTATTCTTGTTTACTATTAGTTCTACATCTAAAGCTGCCCCTAACGCATCCCAAAATTTTATATTTTTCTATTTTATATTAAAATTTATTTTAATCTTATTTTATTTTAATTCGACACAATATACTAATAATTTTTGAATTTAAAACTTATTTGATTCAAAAATAAATGAAATTCAAATTTTTGCACAAGATTGTCATGCTTAAACTACAAATACAGTATAATGATATCTGTATTTTTATTTATAATAAGCAATTTATTTAAATGTATTATTCATTTGTCGATTAATTAAACTTGATAATTTATTCGAAAGTAGCAAATAATAAATGCTTAAATCGTTTAAATAAAGTAGCAAACAATAAATACTTAACAAATTTATCAAATTTATATGTATGGCGCAGGAAATTTAAAGACCTTAATCTCCATGTTAAGGTGATGCATAAACTAGTAGCTCATTGAAAATAAATTATCAATCTCAATAAAGTGATAAGCAAAATAATATACCAAGAATAATATACACTTAAGTAGAACTGTTTTATACATACGGCTGAAAGTTAAAATAAGAGCTACTTATTTTAGCTTTTTTAACTTATACCAATGCACTGTTCGTTTTTGTTCTATATAAAGTGATTGAGGTTTTTAGATTTCTTGCACCGTATGTACGTAGACGTTTAACATAATAAAATAAAAAAAAACATAACAGATAATATATAACCAATTCATTTCGTTATTCAATTTGAGGCATATATTTTCATATTGGGCTGCTTATTAAAACCTTTCTTAATTGCAATAATAGCATTAGTTATACACATGTTTTGAATAATTTTCAATTATAACTCATCTAAATCACCTATTATTTTTTAATTCAACACTGCATATACAATTACTTTGCATTAAACTAATGCAAATTATATATAAATTATATGCACGCATATACGACGTATAAATTTCTCAGCTTTACGATTTTGCGTATGCGTTATTCTAGATAGCAGTTAACCACACATTTCATACTTTGTTTCACTACATTCCTGGTATATTTAATAAAATTCAATAGCAATAGTATTTATATTAATATAATATATTATTACACAATTTAAGAAAAGCTTGCGAATATTTATCATAATCTCGCACTATTTTTACTTCATTTCATACAATCTTTTTTATCATATAAACAATGAATACTAAAAATGGTTAGTGCACATCAGAATTATAAAAATAGCTTGATTTATTCGGCTGTTATATATTATTAAAACACATACAGCATGTATTTAATAGCCGAATAAGCCAAAATACCAAGTTATAATCAAGTAAATCCTGATAATTAATACTATAACATGGTACTAAAATAGAAACTACTTCTAATTTGCATACACCTAACGGCCGAATGAATTGAGGTGTCTCTCTATATAGTAAAATTATAATTTAGTTTTAGTATAAAACTATTTCTATAAAGTTGTATGCAATAGTAATTGTAATTAATATAATTTAATATAGAAATTATATATATCAAACTTGCATGTATCTAACGGCCAAGCGAACAGAGGTTCAATTGAACATTTCCCAGTAAAATACCTTAGTTTGCATGTTTTGCCTCATTTAGTTAAATATCAGTTTTTAATTTCTTGAACAACACGTTGTATTTATCATAGTATGTAAACGAACAAAGGTATATAAACAACGGTTTCTAACCTTGAATAAAGCTCCAGAAGTTCTAAATTCTAAATAAATAAAAAATAAATAAATAAAATAAACCTATAGCTAATGCAAGATTTTGCTGCTTTATTGATTTCATTACCTACATAATAAAATAATTCATTTTTAAAAACATGGAAGCTCAAGATCAACAGGAATTTTGCAAAGGATGTAATCAATTTCACCCAATTGAATTATTTTAGAAAAATAATAAGACCGAAAAAACTTGTTAAAAGTGCAAAGAAAAGAAAAATAAACAAAATACGCAAAAACATGCTGATACAGATACTCAAGCACCTTCCGATTATGGTGTAATAAATAATTTTCTTAATGCTTTGAAAACTATAAAGAGTCAAAACATAGAAAATTTCAGACAAATTATTAATATTAACGAATATATGACTCCAATTGATCCAAAAGAAGTTGCAACATATATCTCAAATAATATTCTTGTAACTATAAACTTCAAATTCAAGTAAGAAAATATAATATATTGAAATTAG